CTGAATAGAGTGCCATCCCATTCAGCCATCCTAAATAAGTAGAGAACATGATGGCAGAAGTAGTGTGAAGACTTCTGGCACAGACTGGCAACAGGCAGTGCCAGTGTTTGGCTTTGGGTAACCAAATGCTGCTCAGCATTGCCTAGCAAGCAGCTCTCTCCTTGGCTTCAGCCACCATCACACCTGATTTTCTTTTGTGTCCGTGAAAATCAGTATCTTCCTTTAGATGATGTTGTAAAAGGACACACAGAGTATTGTGGGAAATTCATCTTTCTATCATCTGTAAAGAAGTAGAAAGAATTTGTGTAGTTTTCCCTCAGCAAGTCTGACTTGTCTCAGGAGCAGTGAGTTTAAATGGAATAACTCCTTCGGTTGCTTTCCTTTGGAAATATCCTGATATAAAAAGAAGTTAGGTAGTAGATATTACAGTGACTAGATGAGAGTTCAGGGAATCTGTCAGCCAAGCAGTAGACTCTCTGACACTTTGTTTCTCAATTTCTGAACTTCGTCTAGAAGTAAATCTAGTAATACCTGCTGTTCATTGCTCAGGACTTAGGAAGTAGTCTTATAGTATTTGAGAAGCAAAAGTTTATATAATACAAATGGGTATTTTTCCAACCTTGATGACAGTTAGTTCCCTGTTTATATGATTAAATTCTAAGTAGTTGGATTTTTGGCACCCCCCCCCAAGTAGAATGTAAAATTCATGATTAACTATTCATTATGAATTGGTCAAAACATCACTTAATCTAATAAATATCTCTGTAAAGAGCTGACTTGGCTGGAGTTGAATTAGTACAGCTTTGCTAGTTTGGCCACTGAATTAAGCCAATACTTTTTAATCTGGATTGAGCTAAGGGGGATTGTTCAGAAATCAAGGCCGGGGGCATTTTCCCAGAAATCACAGGAGTTCAGTTGTCTTTATCGTGTTGGTAAGAGGAGGACAAGGTACAAATTAATGTGTTCTAGGCCAACATGTCCCCCTTTGAGATGTATAGACCCCAGTGATAATAACAGAGGAACTATAATGAAGACTTAATGGATGAATGATCATTAAGTGTGATATCTGAGAATTTAAAATATTTTGAATTCTTAAAGACTGTTCATCATGCAGTAGGTGCATATTTTTTTTTAGTCATCTATTAGACTTTGTTTTCCCTATGGATATTTATTGCATGCTTTTGAGCTAGAATAGTTTTGCTGCAACAGTCACATTCATTTACATGCAGTTTGTGGCTGCTTTCGTATTACAATGGCAGAGTTAAATAGTTGCAACAGAGAATTTATGGCCCACCAAGAGAAAATAAAATATTTGCTACCTTAAAGTTTGCTGACCCCTGCTTTAAAAAAATGACTTTTTGTAAGCACAAAATAATTTCTGCGATTTAGGTAAATTCTCTCAGGGTCATTATTCACCTAGATAAATGAAATTCTTTTCTTTTGGAGAAGTGGAACTCCAAATACTTTCTTTGCATCTTATTTGCTTTCTAATACTTGAGAAATTCTTTAAAAACACAAGTGTTGAAAGAATATATAAAAGGAAATATGTTTTTCAGCTTTGTAGGCACTCCATAAAAGACATATGCATATAGTAGTAAGGGGCTATGAAGTGATCTTGAATAGCATGTCGCCAGTTATATTTGGGAAATGAATAAATAATAATCACAATAGTAAATGTTTATGTTTGCCGAATGCAATCTTGTGCTGAATATAAAATAAGAAGGTGCTTATTCTGTGTTAGACATTGTTCTAAGTACTCATAATTTCTTCAGCAACACTTTGAAGTAGGGTAATTATTATTCTTACTTTATAGATGACATTTTTTAGTTGTGAATACATTTAAAGACTTTAACTTGTAAGAAAGACAACTAATAAAATACCATTTATAATTTATTTCATGGATTTGTTGATATAAATGAATAGTTATGTTTCTTGAGATTGAAAGCCAAGTCACTGTAGTCCATCACTAACGTATTAAGAATGGCAGAGAACTGTTTTAATAACTTAGGAAAGTTATCTTGAGTTGTAATTTGGTAGTTTTCAGTTCTGAGCTCAATTTAATTTTTAAGCTTCCTTTCAGCATCTTTTTTTAACCTAGGTTTCTGTTGAGTTCATTTTTCTCTTCCTTCAAAGTTAATGCATTCAAGTGTGCCCATACTGGAGACTGCAAGGTCTAGCCTTATATTCTGCACGGGGTGGTTCTTCATTCAGCAGTTCATTCTGAGGAATCTTTGTGAGATTTCTCACAAAGAGGAAGTGGCCTGAGGCAAAGTCAAGATTTTTTTGCAGGTGGTAGATAATTGAGAAGCAGAGGATATAGTCCCCTGTTTGGCATTTAGGAGGAAAGCGGAAGCTTTTCTAATTTCTTCAGTAACAACCTGAGAGGAGTGACTAATAGAGTTTGACTGTAAGTGGACTCACTGGTTGGGACTTACCTTTGTGGGAAAAGCCGGGGTATGTGTGTTGGGGGGACACATTGTGGAGCAGGCAGTGAGATACTTAAGAGTTCAGTATTCCACATTACTTATCTCCACCTACTCTGAAACTAGTCTTGGGCAAGCACTAAGGTTACAGTGAAGAGAGGTGAGAAGTAAAGGCAAAGAAGCCATCAGAGACATTCGAGATCAGGAGTTTCCCTCTTAGTCCACACTCATGTGAATCCCCCTTCCCAGCCCTTACTTCCTTTTCTTAAAGCACTGCTATTTCAGTTCTTCCACAAGTCACCATAGGCTCATGAGTCTGAAATTGTTATTTAACCTGTTTCTTGTATCGCCGTCTCTTCCAGATTTTTTCTTTATACTGGGACTTTCTCAGTTGCAATACTTTCTGTGGGCAGAAAGTGAGTATCCTTATCAGAAAGTACTCCCCATCCCTGATTCTTATCATCTTTATAAAGTTCTGTCTGTGTAACAACAGTTCTATCTGTGCCATCTGTACCTATCTGTTTACATGGAGACAATAGGGCAGGTTAATAAATAGGGATGACTTAAAAACTTTTCACACTGGGGATGCTTGTCAGGATTTGCAGTAACCTCGCATAACTTGGAAGACAGAGCTCAGACATGAGGCGAGAAATGGAGGCTGAAGACTGAGAATGGGAAGGTAGTACTGTGTTTAATTGGACGTTCTGGCATCCATAATTCAGATGTCTTGCTGTCCTTTAGAATTCATTTGTAATCTGTTGTTGTTAAAGACTTTAGGACAATCTGTTGTTATTAAAGGACTTGTCAGGAAAAAATATACTTTTTAATAGAGAGTGAGAGCACGCACAAACTGGGAGGGGTACAGGGAAAGGGAGACAGAGAATCTTAAGCAGACTCTGCACTCAGCACTGAGCCCAGTGTGGGGCTGGATTTCCATGACCCTGAGATCATGACCTGAGCTGATATCAAGAGGAGGATGGATGTTTTATTCAACCGAGCCACCCAGGCGCTCCTTGTAAGAAGAATATTTTAAAACATATATAATTTAATCATCATTAAATTATTATGTATATGCTTATATAAATTAATTATAAATATGTAATACTTTAAAAATTATGAATACATTAACAATACCTTCAAATATATGAAAATTAGTAATGTGCTTATGTTCCCTTGACCGTGAAAAAAAGCCTTCTGTTTTGTAGGTATTGATTTGAAAATTTAAATTTGCTTTGAGACAATAAGCTTTTCTGCACTGTGGAAAAAACTGTGACATTGAACTGTCTGATGCATGGAAAAGAGATGTGAAAGCTACAGCACAAGTGTTGATCAGATAAAATCCTATGCTTATCAGCTGTCCTGTAGGACACCTAGGGTACCTGGTACATTTACTGCTTCTGATTAGAATGTTGAAGCAGCTTTAAGTATATGAAATTTCTCAAATTCTTGTATAAGACTTCACAGGTTCATATTGTACCGCATGTGCACAGCCCCCACCCCCAAACTCCCAAACCAAAACCTGAAAACCAAACGGGAAATCAAACCCTCGCATTTATCTTTCTGTGTCTTGTTTTTCAAGCTTCCTTTGCATACTGGTGATGCTGTTGATGGAGGGTGGTGGGTACCTAAGGCACCAAGTTGTTACCTCAGTTTCATTTTGTATAATTGTTCAGTAAGTTCATTTCTCTGTCTGATCAGTTTTTCCTCACAGACTCCCTGAGATATTATCTCGGTGTACAGGGGCCGGGAGGGAGGGCTGGTTTGTGACATGGCCCTCTTAAGGGAGAGGAAGTCTCAGATCTGAGTGTTGTTTCAGGGTTCTCGCTGGTCTTTGCTTGGGGGTGAAAATTCTGGGCTTGTGCCCATTGCTGTTTACTTGGCTGGTGTTCACTGTGGAAATCAGGGACGATGAAGCTATGGCCCTACCGATGCAACCATTGTTGAAGATCCCAACGATGGCAGTCCATCTGTCTTGGCAGACTGTCCTTCCGCTTTTAATTTCAGGATCACTTTGACTGCAGTAACTCCCTTGAAAATATTATCCAGCACAATCGACTACCTTTGTATCCTGCACAGGGCATGAAGAAATGTCCTGAATGACTTCCTTGACCCACGAGGGTTGTGGGGGGTTTGGGAGTGCTAACTGGCATTTTATTCTGGTGTGGCCAGCGGCCCCGGATTAGAGTAGGTCCACTCCACTGGTACTCTCCTTTTCTAGAGCCCTCAGCATTCAGCTTTTCTTTCAGCATGCCTGAGCTGCTCCTCTCCCCTGTATCTTACGCTATTTCAACACTCTTGATGACTGATTCCCCGCTGCTCCTCTTTATCCTTTAAATTTCTATGAGCTCCTTTTATTTCTCCTTTGTGTTTTGCTGGAAATTCCCCTAGGTCATATCCACCTCCTTCTCAGGGTGGCATTCATCCTCACTCTTTCAGTGCAGAATGCCTGCTGGGAGACACTCTTTATCATAGAGGAAATAATTTTTAAAATGCTGTGGTGTTTTCAGAAAATCATTTCTGTAACCTCTGATATTTGACTCACACTATGCGTTAGTCCTGGCGACTAGACTTTAGAGGATGGGGTGCCGGTGTCAGGTAATGATTCAGATGTCTTTTAAAACGTACAGAAGTGGAGCTCTTAAGTCAGACACAAAGAGCTCACGTCCAGCTTTAAGAGAACGACCCAGGGAGCTGAAGGCAGTGAGGAAGAAGTTCACTCGAAAAGAAAAAGCAAAGACGGAGGAACAGGTTTTCTCCTTGCTCTGTATCACATTTTTGTACCATTGGTTGATCTCATTCCAGCAGACTCTGGGATCACCTCTAGCCAGTCTCCTGGTGGCCTCATCCCCTTGTTAGTGAGTGCCCTCTGGAATCTAGTACATTTTAATGTGTTTTATCACAATGGCTACAGTATCCCTTAATAAAAAGATAACTGTATTGCTATTGGTTCAAAATACATGGAAGCTGGTAGTGGGAGATGGAATGAAACAAAATTCTGTTTTCCTTTTATTATGGAACAGTCAGTATTTTAGGCTTCGATAATTTGTTAAAGGGAAAATTATAAAAGGAATTTCTGTAATCGAACTAATAGATGATATTTCTTGAGGGCCCAAACTGTTTCTGGCACTTTGCAAAAAAATTTCCAGTGTTAAAAACAATAGTGTCAGTTGTTGCTCCCATTTTGCAGATGAGGAAACTGAAAATCAGAAAGGCTAAACCACAAAACTAAAAAACTGTGGGATTGAGATTAAAATTTATGTCCAACTGACTCACACCTTTTCACATTACTAAGCTTCAGTAAATAGATCATGTTAGAAATACCTCTGTGATTGGGGCACCTTGGTGGCTCAGTCAGTTAGGTGTCTGCCTTTTGCTCAGGTCATGATCCTGGGGTTCTAAGATCGAGTCCGGCATCCAGCTCTCTGCTCAGCAAGGAGAATGCTTCTTCCCTCCCTTTGTGCCTCCCCTCTGCTTGTACACACATATTCTCTCCCCGCCTCACTCTCTCAAATAAATAGTAAAATCTTAAAAAAAAAAAAAAAAGAAAGAAAGAAATAGCTCTGTGACAACAGATCTTGTGACAAGTAATGTTTCTTGCTAGTCACCCTAGGAACACACTAAGAAAGTTTTGCTGGGAGAATCAGTGTTACTTGTCTGACATCAATCTCTTTTGATCTAGCAAAGTATAAATATAATGCAGTACTAATTTGATGCACCTGATCTGAGTTCAACCTTTTTAGGCCTTAATATTATAAAAGTAAAACTCAAATGTGGGAAACCAGACAAAATGAATATATAGCTTAGTGAATTATAAGGTGTATCCATCACCCAGGTCAAGAAGTAGAACATTGCCCCTGGCCCCAGAAGCTGCTGTGTGCCCCACCCCTATAAGAGGCCTCTCCCATTCTCCACGCGTAACCACTACCCTGATTTTTGTAATAAACACTTTTCTTTATGGCTTTATCAGCTATGAGTGCTTTCCTAGACACTATAGTTTAGTCTGGCCCATTAAAAAGTGTGATGTATCTTTGAAGTCTCTTCATCTTCAGGTTCCCCTTCAATCTCCTCCTTTCTCTTACAATCTCCCTGAGGGAGAACATGTACCCTTTAACTGGTATAGTTTACCATCGTCTGCATTTTACTGATTGGGAGACTTGTGGTGATTTCAACCTGTTCTTCCATGTTCAGATTTCCTGCACTTAGCAATTGGATCCAGACGTATAATCAGACTCAAGTGCGATCCCTCTGCTGGTGTGTTCTTTTTATCAGGAGGCACAGCATGTCTGGTTTGAACTTTTTATATTAGTAGCTGTTGACACTGAAGGCTTATAATAATTATTAATTCCTTCCTTGAGAGTTGCAAAATGATGATTCTTTTTCATTTATATAGCTTCATAAAGAAATATTTTTCCTCTTTTATTTTTCTTCTTTTATTTTTATACCCAGAGGTATAGTTCATATAGGAAAGACAGGATAAATGTTTCCTTATTATACAATTATTTTTACAATTTTGAAGGCAATAATTTCATTTGCTATCATCCTTTAAAAGTGACCAATTACTTTAAAAAATCCATTATGAACTAATTTGAACATATTTGTTATGTTTTATTTCACCACAATTATATAAAATTAAGAATCCTTCTTTCTTTATATGGTTTTTGATTGTGTTTTTTATATAGTTTTCTTAGTGGTTGCTTCTGGTTTTACAATATAAATAAGTGCCTTATCACTATCTACTGGTATGAACATTTTACTATGTTAAATGAAGCACAGAAACCTCCTTCCATTTAGGTACCTTTACCATTTCCATCTGTCAGTATCATTGTCTTAAATACTGTATGGTATCACCTATATGTGGAATCTAAAAAAGCTAATTTCCTCCAAAGAGAGGATGGCATGGTGGTTACCAGGGGCTGGGTGGTATGAGGAAATGAGGAGATGTTGGTCAAACATTACAGCCTTCCAGTTTTTAGGTGAGTATGTCGGGGGACCTAATGTATAGCAGAGTGATTATAGTTAATAATAATGTACAATATACTTGTAAGTTGCTAAGATAATAGATCTTAAATGTTCTCACTACAAAAAGATATGGTAGTTATGTGATCCTAGGGAGGTGTTAGCTAAGCCTATAGTAATAATCCTTTTACAGTATGTCAGTGTGTCGAATCAATACGTTGTACATCTTAAAGAAAGACAAATTTGTATGACAGTTGTACCTCCGTGAAGCTGGGAAAAAATAAGTATCATTGTCTTGAGTATTAGACGATGTTGTGATTTTTGTTTTCATCATCAAATATGATTTATAAGACTCATGAGGAGTAAACTCTACTGTATATACCTAATTTCCTGCTCCCTCTATTATTCTTACTCCCTTCTCCTGTTTGAAGATTCCTTCATCTATTTTTTTTTATCATTGTTTCTTGGCCTGTTCACTGGAAAAACTAGGAAATAGATATATTTTTTAAGATAAATTGCATTATGAGTTCATTCGGATACTGCCAATTCAAATATTGGATCCCTGGGTTTTTACTTAATCTTTTTATTTCACTTTGGTTCTTAAGGACACGGAAGATGTTAGAATATTCCACAATTATTCCATCTCACATATCACACACAATATTGTCAGAAAAATAATACCAGGGCTATTTAATCAATTATGATTACTGAAAATAATAAAACAAATATACTTACTAACCTTCATTTTTTTGGTCAGTTGATAGCTGCAACATACAATAATTTCTTCCTTCTAATCTTCATTTCTCTTTGTTCTATATTTATTTAATGCTTTATACAAGTTTTTCCATTGATGTTTCACCAGTCATTCTGATTGTCTGAAGTTTGTTCTCTAGTAAACTCTGCAAGAAGGGGTAACAGTAGCCATATTCTCTGAATTCTTTCATGTTGGTAACTGTGTCCTTTATATTGAAAGTTTTGTTGGGTAAAAATCTTTGTCTCACATTTTAATTTTTTGGGGAATCTTAATAATACTCTCTACTTCTTCCTGAAATAAGGCACTCTCAAAGAAAATCATTTTCTTTCCTTAATATGTTATATAATCCTTTTGTCTAGATACCCACAGGATTTCTTTTTTTCTTTCAAGTCCAGAGTTTTACTAGATTATGTATTAGTGTTGCTAGTTATGCGTGGATACTTTTATGAACACTATGTTCTCTTAATGTATAATTTCAAATGTCTTTATTTTAGGATTTTTCTGAATTGTAATTTTTATTATTTGTTTTGTTTCCTTCATGGACTGGATATAAAATAATAAAGTGGGTATAATTTCCTTTAATTATTTTGAAAGGATGACCTCAATATTTTTTAGCATCTAATATTATGTAAAAATTCAGAAGCTATTCTGATTCCTGTTAAATTGTGTATTTCTCCACTTTTGACTCTTCTCATATCCAATGTCTTAAAATTCTTAAGCATTTGTCTCAGTGTAAGTCTTCAGTCATTGAACAAGGCACTAGGTGAAACATTTTTATGTAGAGAGTCTGGTTCTTCAGTTTGGGGAAGATTTCTTCTATTGTTTCTTTAATTTTCTCTCCTTCTTTTCTTCATTCTCTCATTTTGCAATTCTTACTAGCTGAATGTTGGGCCTCCTGGACTAATTTTCTAATTTTTTTCCTTTTCTTTTCCCATTTTTCATCTCTATATGCTCTGTCCTATAGATATATTGACTTATATTCACATAGGAAATCCTATTTCCTAATGTGATGATTCTTAGAGGTGGGGTCTCTGAGAGGTATTTTGGTTATGAGGGTTGAGCTCTCATGAACAGGATTTGTGCCCTCATAAAGTAGACTAGAGAGCTCCTTTGCTCCTACCTCCATGTGAGGACATAGTGGCAAGTAGTTGGCCTGCTATGAGCTAGGAAATGGGTTTTCATCAGACACTGATTCTGCCCACATTGGTTTTAGACTTTTCAGCCTCTAGAACTGTGAGAAATAAGTGTCTGTTGTTTCTAAATCACTCAATCTATGGTGTTCTGTTATAGCAACCGAAAAGGACCTAGACTCTATCTCTATGTCTTTTGTTTTTCAAACATAATTTACATGCACTAGAAGTTGCCCTTTTTATGTTTACAATTTGATATGCTGACAAATGTATGGGGTCATTAAACTGCTACCACAGTATCTTCCCAATTTCCCTGTGTTCCTTTGTAATTAAAGGATAAAAGTTGCTTTTCCCACCCTCATCTCATGGCAACCACTACTCTGTTTTCTGGACCTAGAGTTCTGCTTAAAACCTCTCTTCTTTTGTTCTACTATCTTGTAGGTTTCCACAACTTACAGATTTTTTTTTTTTTTACGTACACTTCTAATAAATATTTTAATTTAAGCTGTATTTAAGATTTTTCCTAACTTCTTGTTTCATGGCATCTTGTTTCAAATATCATTTTATCTGTCCATGGATATTAGTTATGATTTCCTGGAAACTTTGTTTTATATTTCCTTTGAGTTTCCTTTTTTTCCTTATTTTGCTCTTCTTCCCTTCTCTCCCAAGTTGGATATGTTTCTTAGATGTCTGATAGTTCTTAACTATCCAATCATAAGAAATGTGAAGTACTAAGAAGCGAATTGGAAGTTCTGTGTATTTGGGTGGGTCTTGCAGGATTTGGGTCTTCACTATAGAGTAACTAGCTGAGTCATTCACTAGTAACTCTAAAATTATCTGTAAATGTGTGTTTTGGTTTTTTTTTTTTTTTGATGTTGGTATTCTACCTTCAAAGAAAGAGCCCCCAGTGTCCTTCCAGGTAATATAAGCTCCTAATCTTAAAAATTTGAGGCAGGAAGAGGGGGCTGTGGATCTCACTGATGGCTGTGCAGAGTATCACTTAGCCATTCATTGTGTTTTGAATGTTACTTCTCAACATGGATTTATTCTGCACTTAGAGTCCCCAAATATGGTTTCCAATTGGCTCAGCTTGTTCAAATCTGGTGTCTGACTGGCTCAGTTTGTTCAGAATCTATAAAACTTTTTCTTCTGGGTAGTTTGACAGATCCAAACGGGATAGAGTCTGGGGACCCAACGATTTTTTAAACAGATTTTAAGATGACTCAGCTGTTTTCAGCCCAAGCCACACCTCAGCCTTCCACTATACTTGGAGCTTTCCACACTTGAAACTTTCTAGGGTTCTACAAGTCAAATTGGATTATTTCCTTTTCATTATTTCTGTAAAGCTATCTCTCTTCTATTCAGCTAAGTCATTTACTCTCCCTTTTTCTACTTACTATTTGGGTTACACATATTTCTAAGTGTCAGTCTAGATGGTGTCTAAACTTTTCTCTCATGTTCTAGTTCTCGCTTAGGGACAGTTCTGGGAGTAGAAGTGTATGGAAATGTCTTCCCACGTCCATCCTGAAAAGAGAAGTCTGCAGCTATACCCTTAAATATCCCTGTGGACTTCTAGTATATAAACTTTCACTCTTTTGTGGCATTTGGCAAAATGTACTACTGTTGCTAGAATTTCTTTTCCTTTGATTTTCATGGTTTTCTTATTTTTACTTTTGCAAGCCTACCTTCTTTTTCTGTCTATTTTTATGGTGACATTTTCATCCATATTACGTCTTAAACATTGATATAATTCTGGGTTTTATAATTATCACTCTTCTGCCTTTCCATCAGTGATTACTTAGACTATCATATTTAGCTATAACCAAACTACAGTTTTGTATATCCATCTTCTTACTGAGCATTTTTATTTTTGGGTCCTACCCATTTTAATAAAAGTCAAATGGTGAAATCAAAAGATATTTTCCTTACCAAATCAGCTTCTTCTCTTCATTTTTTTATACCAGGACACTACAATTTTCCTGTACAATTATGCTTGATATTTTAGAAATACCCCTGCATATTTAATCGGAAAATAAAGATATTCACTTAGTTCTTTCTTTAAAATTATATGATTGCATTCCATATTTTCTGTCCATTGCTGCTGCTTGAATATGATTTATTTTTTTTTCTTTATTATCCTTATTATTCTACTAAAAGATGTACATCACACATTTGCGTAACTAAAGAAATCTTCTGGGTGTAAATTCCATGAAACTGATGTCAGGAAGTTGAAATTCTTAAGAATTGTACAAATAGCATCATCCCTCTCTCTCTACATGCACACACACACACACACACACACACACATACACATGCACACGCACACACACATGGCATAAAAATAACCAAAGATGTTGGTAATTTTATGAAGGATTAATTGGTTGTATGGGGAGTAGAAATTTCTTAATGTGTTCAAGAAAAGAAAACTTCTCATTAATATAAACATGTGTAAAGTAGAAATTATTTCCTAGATATTCCTGTGTCTATTATTGTTAAGAAAGGTGTGATATAGATATATGATCTTTCATGTATCTTACCTATATCATCTATTTTATGAAAGAGCAGAGTGCACATGGCCAACTTTGTTATCTGGTGGGGAGGGTTCTATAGTACAGTGTTGGATGGGGCCAGATTTGCTTGCTTTTTGTATGGATTCACGATTTATAAGGTTATTTCTTCCACTGTTATTCCACCATATGGTTTTAAATGTTATACATTGCTCAATCCTGTCTCTTAGAAGTGCTTATTTTATTATTCTATATAAAGAGTACTTCAGAATTTAATATGATTTTGTTATAGCAGAGATTTCATGATCATTTTACATCATTTAGATCTGAGAATAAGACATTTTCTGTATATATTTCTGTATATATATTTTCAGTATGTATTTATATATAAAATATATATTTTCTGAAAAGCTTTGTAATAGGCTCAAGATTATATGAAAACTTAAAATAGATGTCTTCTTTATACTTAACTTTGAAAGACATGATTTTTTTTTTCTTTTTGGTGACTTTTGTTCTACTGTCCTTATTTCTGAACATAAAGCATTTATTAAATAGCACTTTGTTATTATAATAATACAGAGAAAGATTCTACTCCTTATTTACCAGTTATAAAAGAGAGGCCTTGAGAAAGGGTAATTCCTCTGAGGTTCAACAGAATAAAGTGAGCTTGTTCCAGTGATGAGGCAAGAATTAAATTTCAGGAGAAAAATAGAGGTAAAATGAAAATAAGAAATCGTTTGAGCATAAGAGCATATGGGAGTGACAGAAACAAAAGTGCAAGCCATTATAACATAGCTTAGATTTTGTGAGAGGGGAAACAGAGAACATGTTATCTAATGAATAATGAGGCTAAGACATATTTTAATAATTAATTGTTGCTGAAATTTAGTATTGATCTAATTTAGAATTATACCTTAACAAATCATAGGGATTTTTATATCTCAACGTTGACCTGAAAATGTATTTAAGTTTAAAGTACATCCGTTTGTAAAAAAAAAAAAAAAAAAAAAAAAACTTAAAATTAAGTTAAAAGGAAGAAATAATTGTCCAGGCAAAGTACTCCCATGTATAGAGAGTAAATGCTATAATCAATAGCTAATGTTCATTAGCTTGTCCTCTTTCCTTCCTCCCTTCCTACCTTCCTTGCTTCCTTCTTTCCTTCCATTTTTTCTACTTTTTAATTTTTAGATTTTATTTTACTAGGTCTTAAAACATAATTACTGTATTCGGGTTCTTTTTCTTGTCACTTTGTTCTCCTTTCCTCTCACCTTGACTTTTGAAAATTTTTGGATTTTTTTTTAGATTTGAAAGCTGTTAAACAAAATATGAAGAGAAACTGTATTTGTTTTTTTGTTTTTTTTAAAGACTTAATTTATTTGACAGACAGAGATCATAAGTAGGCAGAGAGGCAGACAGAGAGGGGAAAGCAGGCTCCCTGCTGAGCTGAAACCCTGATGCGGGGCTCCATTCCAGGACCCTGAGATCATGACCTGAGCCAAGGCAGAGGCTTAACCCACTGAGCCACCCAGGCACCCTGAAAAACAGTATTTGTTATTTGAATTGTATTGTAGCATATGCATTTTTTAAGTCACTAGATTTCAAGCAGTACTAGAATAATGGCCTTAGATTTCCTCCAGTCTGAGTTTAGATCCTGGCTGGGACACTTGCAAGTGGTGTGGGCCCAGCTACTTTCTTTCCTTCTGCTGGCTCAGAATAGCAAATATTTGAATACATACTGTGTTTCATTCTTTTAAGTTTTGGTTATTAGTTCATTTACTCCTCGCAAAATCTGTGGGTATTATTAACCCATTCTGTGGATGAGGAGATAGGAGCAAAGCAAGACAAAGTAGCTTTCCCCAAATAACCATAAATCATCATTTCTTCATGAGGGATATCCGTTGATCTCTTTTCCATTTTCACTTCTGGCCTTTTCTCTCCACAAACCTCATGCTCCCAACGACATTGGCATTTGCAGCTATTGGAAGATAATATGGCCATTTCCTATCTGTGTGGCTTTGTAAAGCATTTCCCTGTGAGGTTCTTCCCACTGCCCTCCCTGTTTCTTTTCCTGGCTAACTCTTCATCCTCCTCCCAAGACTTAGCTCAAACCCTGGTATCACTTCAGGCAGCAAGGCTTCCTTCTCTGTCCTCCTGTTTTTTTTTTTTTTTTAATATTTTATTCATTTATTTGACACAAGTAGGCAGAGAGGCAGGCGGGTGTGGGGTGGCGGGGGGGGGAAGCAGGCTCCCTGCTGAGCAGAGAGCCCAACGTGGGGCTCGATCACAGGACTCTGGGATCATGACCAGAGCATCATGCAGAAGCTTTAACCCACTGAGCCACCCAGCATCCCGCCGCCCCCGCCCCGTGGCTGGTTTAAAAAAAAATGATGCTGGGCTTCCATGGCGTTTATTGTATTTTATCTTTTCACTTTGCATTATACTTATTGCTGTTTTTGTCTATTTCCATTTCAGGCTGAGGCAGAACTTACGTCCTGTCTTTCTATTACCAGAATCGAGCTGAGTACCTTTCAGTATAGAGTAATGATTGAAAGAAGAATATACGTAATTTTTAAATTATAAGTTGTGTAATTTGAACAAGTTACTTCTTTCAGCTTTTGCTTCTTCAGATTTACAAATGGGTTCAATACTATTTTCATCCTCATAGAATAACTGTGAGAATTGAGATAATATATGTTAAATGTGTATACATGCCATGGGAAGCTTACACAGTGAGAGCAGGTCTTGTGATTATTATTAGTGTCCTACATTATTATTCACATACATAGGCTTTCTCAGAACACTAAGCTATGTAATATATTACTGGTCATGGATCTTTTTGAATACCATTTATTTTCAGGTTAGAAAGATACTTTCTCTGATAAAGTATTTCAATTAATGGTTGGAATGAGCAGAAAAAATCTCTATATTTATAAGGGTGAATGGGAAATTCAAGTTCCTTTTATTTTTCTTTAAACTTGTAATATTTATCTGGGTACTTTAAATCCAAACTAATTGCACTGCAGGATTAATTCCATTATTCATTTACTATACTCAACATATGAGAAAGGATTGCTAGCTCATGCAAATAGAATAATTGATGAAATGAATTTTTCTTCTTTTCAATCTAATTATTTAACAACTTAAAAACTTACTTTCACAAAACCATAAATTTTAAGCTTTCATACAAAGAAGCAAAATGTTAATTTTTTTAGACATCTCCTTGAGTAAATAAAAAAAACCCTACTTTATTAGTTTTATGCTCTATAATGTCAGTTTTATTTATGCTTTTAGAAATCTTAGAGAGCTTTGGAGTTCCAAATTTTTAAAGATCATAAGCTCTTCTCTCTTGGTAGTATTTTACATTTTTTTTGTTTCTTTTGGATATTCTTAATATGATTTTTCTTAAAAATAGATTAAATTTATGTAATAGAGTAAGCGTTCTTTAAGGGAAAACTGCTTATCTCCTTAAAATTGAACCTTTAAAGTACTCATGCCAGGAAGTATTAAGTAAACCATGAATCTGAGTTCTAGCTGTGGTTATTTGGAAATTGTTTCCTATAGTCCTCTTAAGCCACATGTACCCTTTGGAAAATGTGAACAAAATATTCATTACTGACCTCATCATTTAAAGCTATAGTAAGACAAGAATCATGAAAAAGAAAATGCATGCACTGTATAAATAAAGCTGCTAAAATAGATTGGAGTTATCTTTCATTTCTTGACTTTTTTGTTGTGTAATTTATTGGAATTGAATATTTATGTTATTTTTTTATTGCTGCTGCCTATGCACAATATATATATTGGCTTCTGTCCATCATAATATTATTGGGTTTAGCTATTCCACCTTCCTTTTGGAAATTGACCTCTTTATGTGTGTGTATATATATTTTTAGTAGTTTCAAATTCTGGTTTCAGTCTTTATGGACTCAGCTGTTTGAGAATAAGCAGTCTCCTGATATAACTTCATAACAAAAGGATAAAATGCCCCTTTGGAGGACATTCGGTGTTTGGAGATGGTTTTACCATTGGTGATCTCAACAGTTGATTTGAAGCTATCTGTTAGGGGGAAATTTTTCAAGTGCACTACATTAAACTTACCTTTGTAGGTCAAAGTTTGTCGCTCTATTGCTTAAATAACTCCAAAAGCTGTCCAATGTACTTATAAAATCCAAGTTCCACGTCTGATCTCTTAAGACCCTGCCTGATTCGGCCTTTGTCTGTTCTCCAATTTGCAGGCCCCGATCTTCTGACTCTCAGCACTTACATCTCCATGGTCATATTTCAGTTCTTCTAACACAGAACCCTCTTTCTGGGTTAAGGGTCTTGCACACACTTTTCTTGTTTTGAATACTCATTTACTTAGTTGACTCATTTTCATCATTCAGGTCTCAATTTAAATATTCCCTTCTCCGAGGGGCCTTCTCCATCAACCCAGAATCACTCCTTCTTCCCCCATGTTACCTGTTCTAATAATATTAATTTACTTGATTATACCTAAGTTATGTGTTGTTTGTGTTTTTTCTTATTGTCTTCACCACCATAAATAGTAGACCTTGAAGACCTGTAATTTATCTGTATTGTTTAACAAGAGCCTCTGCATCTAACACTGGCTAACAGTGATTAGCTCTGCATCTAACATTCAACAATATAAGTAAGATTAATAACGAATGATTAAGAATCTATTTCTTCACACATAGGGAAAAACTTTTGCAAAGTTTCTGAGACAGGAGGTGTTTGATGTGTTCCTGTGTGCTCTAGTGTGGCTGGAGCATAATAGGTGACAAGATAATGACATGAGATGAGCTTATAGAGTTTTTCAGGGACTGGAAGGCCATTTTAACAAAATTGGATTTATTCCATAGTATAAGGAGAAATCCTTCTAAGGGTTTAAGCAGGGATGAAAAGGTTTGTGTTTAAAGGAGCTCAGATTTATTGCTCTTGGAGACAGGATTGGACATGGGAAAGTAATCTGGATAAAGCCCATTTGGAAGCTTCTGTAGCATCTGAGGGAGAAGATGGGCATTGGTGGTAGCAGTAGAGTAGGAAAAAAGAAGATAGAAATTGAGAGAAGATAGTGTTGATATCATTTTTGTAGATGTGTAATTCTGCCATCAGAATTACAAGTTTGGGGTGGGGGATTCAAAGATTCTAGACTTGCTGTGGTGAAGATATCTGAGATCCAAGTGAAGATGCCAGCTAGTGGATATGGGGCTTTTAAACTCAGATAAATTTCAAACTCAGGTAAGAGGTTTTGACTAAGGAAATGAATTTAGCAATCTTCAATATGTAACTTTTTTCAAATGCACAGAACTGGATATAATTTACTGGGAGGCACTAATTAGAAAGAAGCAAGTCCAGGGAAGAATCTTGAGAAATCCCAAAATTTAAGAAGCAGAATTATGCAGATTCAGCTTGCAGACTCAGGAAGAGCAGCAAATAATGCAGAAGGAAAACTAGGATGGAATTGAAGAGAAGAATGAGTAGTCTGCTTCACCTGATACTACCAAGAGATTGGAATAATTACTGAAATATTACTCATGTTGTCAAGACATTAATTTGGGCAGGAGTTGGTTAAAGAGGAGAGAAGAGGCTAAAGGCAGCATGTAATTGCTTTAAGTGGTCCCATGAATGGTATAATAGTGCTGGGAACATGAGGTCAGGGGAGGACTAAAGAGAATGATATGTGTTAGATCAGGTTTGTATGTTGATGGGAGTTATCTAGTTAGTAGAGAGAATTGGTGATTCAGCAGAGAGCAAAGGAAAATTGTCTAATAGGGCTTTCAATGTAACACATATGACTTCGTCAAAAAGGAGATGGTGAAGACTTGTATAGTTGTAAAGGTCATTTATCTGGTTTTGCTTGAAGTGATAAAATTGTTAATTCTAAGTTGATGTTAAAGTGGTAGAAAGTGTGATTCATACTTTGTAAGCATTAGAACAACCACTAAAAAGATTATATGAAGTCTATTTAAAGACCATATAAAAATTATAGTAAAAAATCCAAGAGGAAATTAAAGTGGGATTCTAAAAATATTTAAATATCGAAAAAGAGGGCAGAGAAGGAAAATCAGAGGAACACAAATGTGGTGGGCAGATTCTAAAGAACTCCCCCGCTCCCCCAAGATTCCTGCCCACAGGTGTTTTAGTCAAACACTAATCCAGAGGGGTCTTTGAAGATGGAATTCAGGTCACTAAAGAGCTGACCTTAAAATAAGGAAGCTACCTACTGTTAAGCAACTACATCAGTTCATGAAAGCAGAAGGCAGAAGAATCAAAAAGATGTAGTAGAAAGAAGTCAGAGATTTGAAGTATGAAAATGTGTGAGAACAATTCAACCTGCTCTTGCTGTAAGTACAAGGTTAAGAGGAATGCATGTGGTTTTAAGAAACTGAAAGGGGCTCCCAAGGAAAAGCAGACTTCAGGAACTTTGGCCTACAGCCTCAAGGAAATGAATTCTGCCAACAACTTGAAGGAGCATGGAAGCTGATTCTTCCCTAGAACTTCCAGAAAGGAATGCAGCCCTATTGATACCTCAGTCTCAACCTAGTGAGACACTAAGCAGAGGAACCAGCTGAGCTGTCCTGTGCCTGGACTTTTGACCTATAGCAATTGTGAGACAAACAGTGTTGTGTTAGAACACAAAATTTGTCATAATTTGTCATAGCAGCAATAATGGCTTTGGAATTAGAATGTAGACAGAGGCTATAAAAATTTTGAAGAACATGATAGGGGGAAAAAGAAACTTAGATTGCCTTGAACATACTCTATAGAATATGGACATTGACGATGCATCTGGTGAGGAATTAGAAGGGAATGAGGAACATGTTATTAGAAACAGGAGGGATAGGGATCAATTCCATATAGTGTCAGAGCACTTCAGAAAATGGCCCTGCAAGCTGAACTTGTTAAGTGATGACCATGGTATTTACTTGATAATTCCAAAGAAAATGTTAAGAATATTATCTGGTGTATTAGTCTGCTCAGGCTGCTGTAACAAAATATCACAGATGGGATGGCTTAAGCAACAGAAATTTATTTCTCACAGTTCTAGAAGCTGGGACATCTAAAATCAAGGTGTCAGCAAGGTAGGTTTTATTCTGAGAACTCTTCTTTTGGCATGTAGGTAGCTGCCATCTGGCTGTGGGCTCACATGTTTTGGTGCTCTTGCAGAGGGGTAAGATCCCTCCTGTCTCTTCTTATGAGGACATTAATTCTTTCAGATCAAGACCTTACCCATATGACTTCATGCAACCATAATTATTTTTTTTACCCTGAATACAGCTACACTGAGGGTTAGGGTTCCAACATATGAATTTTGGGGGAGGACACAAACATTCATTCCATAACATCTGGCTTCTTCTTGTTGCTTATAGTAAAATGTGAGAAGAGAAAGATAGAGTGGGGGAAAAAACTGTTAAACAAAAAAGGAAGAAGGACTTAATGATTTTGAAGTTTTCAGGCTACCCAGATGGCAAAAGACTATGAAATTAAGAAATTTATTTTTAGTAAAAGGTGCTCTGGAGAAGAGGCT